TAACATCAGCTACAATATCCCTAGTACCACGACCCTTCTAAACCCAGCCTGGACTTCTGGCAGTTCTCTGCTGATGTACTGTTCCAGTCTCTTTTGGATAATCTTCAGTAGAATCTTGCTTACATGTGAAATCAATTATATTGTTCTGTAGTTTCCACACTCATTTACATTATATATATATATTATATATGCACTATATATATGTGCTCAGGTCTTTTGTTCACAGGGTTGCTATGAGTCATCTATGTCTCAACAGCACTTAACAACAACAACATATCACACACACACACAGACACACACTCTAGCAGCCTAGTGCTAAAGAGCTGCAGCACTGCAATTCCAAAGGCAGGAGGTTTAAAGCCACCAGTTGTTCTGAAGGAGAAGGATGGGCAGTCTCCTCCTTTGAAATTAACTACATCTGAAAACCTACTGGAAGGTCAGCTATGGGTTGGTTCCAACTTAATGGAATGTGTGCATGTATACACACACACACACACACACACACACACACACACACACACACCCCCTCTGGTGGCCTAGTGGTGAGAGGTTACACTGTCAATCTAAAGGCAGGTGGTTCAAATCTGCCAGCTGCTCCACAGGAGAAAGATAAGCAATCTCCACCTGTGTAATTTACAACCTTTGAAAACCCATTGGAGGGCCAGTTATGAGTGAGCTCTGATTTGACAGCACATAACAACACTAGAAGGAATAGTAGGACTCCCCACATCTTTGATGAGGAATTAGGAAAGAAGCAGCACAAATATAGGACAGCTAAAACATCTAAGGACTGTATTAGAGGCTTGCAAGTGAAAGGGAATGGCAGATGGTCAAGGGTGAGTGATGCAAGCACAAAGGAGAGAGACAGACAGAACACAGCAAGCTGGCAACGCTACAAGGAACTTAGTCTTGCTTGGGTCAAAATGCCAGGAGCAAAGAGTCAAGAGATGAGGCTGAGCAGGCAGGTGGGAACCAGACCATGGTGAGCTCAAACTGCATTGTTTCATTTGAAGAGGAGAGAGGTGATGTGAGATGGTATTTCTGAGGATCTCTCCAGGGCAGCAGTGGAGTGGAGGATGGGCCAGAAGGGGGCAATATTGAGGTGGGAAGACATTGAGGGACAGGAAATAGTTACCTCCCTGGCTCAGATTTAGAGAATAGTCGTTGTTGGGGTTGGTTTTTTTTGTTTGTTTTTTAATCAGCTTCACTAGAAATACGTACAGTGGGATGGAATCCATAGGTTCCTCAACTTTAACTTGAAATGACATCAGTTAGCAAAGTATCACTTTGATATAAATTCATTATTTCTTGCACAAATGTTTATGGAGTGCTAGACATTATTCCCAGGGTGGGGATCTAGAGAGTAACATTGTTATGTCTCTACTCTCACAAAGTTTCCATTGCAGTGGGAGAAACATATTTTTAAAGTTAATAAAATATAATTGCAGATGGAGGTAAGTGCATAGAGGAAAAGTGAAGTGGCAAAGGAAACAGTGAGTTTGTGCTCAGGATAGACAGTGAGCATTAGATTAATTGTTGGGGGATGGTCTCTCTGAGGAGGTGATGTTTGTACGGAGAATGAATAAAGTAAATGAGAGAGCCAGTCAAGACCTTCTGGGCAGTGGGAACAGCATGTGAAAAGGCTCAGAGGCAGCAGAGATGCTGATAAAAAGCAAAGTGTCAACGTTTGAGGGAGCAGAGGTGAGCATAAGGAGGTCAAGTTAGGAAGAGAGACAGGACCAGGCCATGCGGAGCTTTGTAAGGAGAGAAAGGCAGATGATTCCTGGCAATGCGTGTACAGAAGACTAGAAAGTTCTGCAGGGATGTAGTTTCTATGAGGAAGTCAACTATACTGAGAAAGATAATTTCCTGAGTATAGAATGTATCTGTCAGAATCAAGCTCGTCACATTTTAACTTGTATAATTGATGTTGATCCTAAGCGGTTTTGAATTAATATTCGAAGTGAAGCAGTACTAAGAATTCCTGTAAGCTGTGCTTTTTTTATATATGCATTTCTTTCTCTGTTGTAGATGTATTCATTTATCTCTTTTTATAGAAAGGAATAGACAAGGAATTTTACCTCCTGTTCACGGTCTTTGATGAGAATCTGAGCAGGTATCTTGATGAAAACATTCGGAAGTTTACCTGGCGACCTTTCAGTGTTGACAAAGAAGACAAAGAATTCGTGAAATCCAACAGAATGCATGGTACGAAAAGGTGCTCTCCTGTGAAGGGAAGGCTTCAGTACACTTGAAGCAAAAGTCGTTGGGGAATGTTGTACATATCTTAGTTTTTGTTACTTGGGTATTGTTCTTGATCATGGTTACTGCACGCCTTCAGCTTCACAAGGATTGATGAAACTTCATCTCCCGAAGATGTTGTGAAGCTTAACTAGTATTTCTAAAATAATTTATCAGCCTAGATGAAGCGAACATAATATTAGAACTTGCAAAGATGATATTACACATTAGGTTTGACAAAGATTACTTTTACACATGTGTTTGTATGTACTGCAAGTTTATCCAAGGATGCTGTAGATGACATATAAGGATAAAGTTTTGGAAACCTCTTAGTCATAACCAAACCACATAGGGAATGAATTACTGGGTTTCAGATGTTGATAATTGGGTCTCAGGTGACATCTAAGTTATTAGCATAACAAAGCCCACAGAGATCATATTCTATATTATAGCTGACCTGCCAGTGGGTTTTCAGAGGCGGTAAATCCCACTGGAGGAGATTGCTCATGCTTCTCTCTTGGAGAGCTCTCTTCGAACTGTTTGCTTTCAGGCTGACAGTGCAGCTCCTTACCATTTGACTGCCAGAGCTCCGTATGGTAAATAGTGAGTGAGGTCTTAAAAGCTTGCAAGTGGCTATCTAAAATGCAACTATTGGTTCCAAAGAAGAATAAAGACTCAAGGAAACAGTCCAAGACCTTTGACCATGTGGTCTACAGCCCCCACCACCTAAAGACTAGAACAAGACAGTTCCCTAGCACCACCACAGATCAAAAGGATCACAAGAGCCTTGCCAGAGACAGAGGGGAAACAGCAGAACAGAATTCCAAATCATGAAAGGTTAGATTTACTGGTCTAATAAATACTGTTGGGACTCCCTGGTAGACACCCTTCAAGCCTGGAAATGAACATCCAGCCTCACCCCACCCTTCAGACACCTAGGATAAACTTTCAGCCAAAAATAGTCAAGTCTATAGAATGAATAAGAACTCCAGGGAGGAATGCACTCCTCAGGGCACTTATCAATATGAGACTGAAAGGGCAGCATTTGCCACAGAACAAAGCTCAGAAGATTCAAGGGCCAGCAAAGTGTGGAATGGGGAATTGAGGGAGGGAGTGGACCAGTGCTGTTACACAGAGAGAATTGCAACCACAAAACAAAATGAATGACAGTTGTTGGATTGAAAACTAAATTGTTCTGAAACTTCTACCCAAACTACAACAAAAAGTAAAAATATATGATAAATACATTTTTTAAATGACATTACATCATCATTGTATACAACAGTGGACAAAATACCCTCTCTTGAATTCACAATAAATGAGTCTGAGTAATGATTGGAGATAATTATTATATAGCAAAGTACCTCTTACCAGGTATTCTGAGTGACTGTTGAATGCATTAATTTATAAAACACTAGCCATTCTTATGTCAGATCTTTATCTGGGAGGAATTACTTAGTTCTTGCTCTTATGTGTCTTGTTTACAGTAGCAAGCAACCTTATAATGCTGGTGACAACACAGGATGCTAATTGATTCTTGGACCCATCACCTGAGTTAACGGAGTAATAGATAAAAATCCAAACTCAAAAGAAAAGACAGCCCTCCATCACAAAAAAATAAAATTAAAAAAAAAATCCAAACTCAAATGCCTTCAATGAGGTGCAATCAGCATGAGTGGTCAAAACTGTGCAATAATATCTGCAGAACTGCTCTTTTATTTTTTCAGTAATTTTTTAAATTTTAATTATTATTTTAATGAAAGTTTATAGAAAAGTTCGATTTACATTCATTCATCGTTGCATATTTTACCTCCTCTCACTCTTGTCCCCCTCCCCCAAGTTCACTTTTCTTTAAAAAAAATTCTTTTAGTGTTTTGCAATTACCTCCTTCCCCCAACACACCCCCAGTGACCCTGCAAGACATTATGCTGAGTGAAATATCTCAGTCACAAAAGGACAAATACTGCATAACACCACGGTGATAAAGCAGGTTTGGCATTGGAGTTTGGGAGAAGAATAGAGAGTGGATAGATAATGAACAGTGGATATATAATGAATATTGCACTGGAACATATGAAGAACTGCTTCTTTTAAGACCACTCAAAACATCTAGGAAGTTATACTGCCTTTTGAAACCTTGTGGACGTATAACAAAATAGTTGCCAACCTTCTTTGCTCCAAAGAAGTCTGAGATTCCAAGTGACCTACAAGAGCCAGCTCACAGACTCTCCAGGTCCTAGATGATCAGTTCCAACAAGACTCTTCTTGAACCACTGGATTTGATACAGCTTAGTAACATCGCATGACTTTTTGTTATTATCCTCCACAAACATTGTTCTGTAACTGAATGTTGAATTTGTTTCGTGACTTCTTATTGTTATTATGCATGATTGAGTCAAGTATGAGTCATAGCCACTTTATAAACAACAAATCTGAACTTTGTCATTTCCTATGGTATTCTCATCACCTCTGACAAAGTTGAACCCATTGCTGCAATCACTATGTCAATCTATCCCATTGAGGGTCTTCCTTTCTTACATTGGTCCTCTATCTTTCTAAGAGTGATGCAACTTTCCAAGAAGTCCCTCTTAACAACATGCCCAAAGTATGTGAGGCAGAACTTTTACTATGCTTACTTCTAAGTATAACTCTGGCTACATCTTCTCCAAGATGTATCTGTTTGTTCTTTTGATAGTGCATGAGATATTTAATACTCTTTAACACCACAACTCAAAGGCATTGATTCTTCTTCTGTCATCTTTATTCATCGCCCAGCTCTCAGATACATAGTTGTTGTTGTTGTTGTTATATGCCATCGAGTCGCCTGTGACTCATAGCG